ACGAGAGTTGTCGAGGGGAAGGAGCTCGAAAAATTTATTAGAACACCCGATGCGGAAGATAACGATAACCGTCGTATGAATGTAAGCGTAATGATAAAGACTTTCAGATTTGATAAGGTATTATATTAAATTAATTTAAACAAATGACAAATCTTTCTTAAATGAATGATTAGATCAAGAATTTTTTACCGAATAGCAATAGATACACCGATTCCAAGTTGGATAGAACAATTATCGAAATATGTGATTGTTAATGATGACGCAAGTAAGTTTACCCTTTATTGTTATTAGAAGCAAATATCTTTGATTTTGTTTCATCTAATTGTTTACCCATTAGAAATCGAGTTCTTCGCCCTCGTTTCATCGGAGTGCGGTCATCTCTGCCTAGTAACAGACCTTTTCGCCTTAATCTTATCAGGGTGCCTTACCTCGGCTTTAGATCCTGCCGTAGGAGATATATTATAAGTGTAGGTAAAACCATCAAGAACGGATTGCTCCAGAAAAAGAACAAAAGGACCTATAGCATCTAGGATGAGAAAATAATGAAGCTAGCTATCGTACTAAGGAGAGCCTGCCTGATGATACCATGAATGTTATTTAAGGAAAATTAATGCGAGATCTGTGAATACGATCGATTGAAGAGTCTCCATACATGTTACCGTTCAGTTTTAGGTGAGTGGATGTTTTGTGTAGGCAGGTGGGCAGATGAGTGAATTGGTGGATGGTTGGGCGAGTTGATAGGTGAGTGGGTGAGTGAGTGGGTGAGTGAATGGGTGGTCTGGTGAGTGAATGGATGGGCAGATGGGTTAGGTGAGTAGTGAACAGACAAGTGGGTGAGCAGGTGAATGAGTGGATAGATAGGTGAGTGGATGGGCATGCAAATTAACAGATAGGTGGATGGGTGGATGTGTCGGGTGAATGGACAGGCGAGTGGAAAGATATGCGAACGAGTGGATAGATTGGCTGAGCGAGTGTGAGCAGGTAAGTGAATGGGGGGATAGGTTGGGTAAATGGTTAGGAAGTGGGTGGATGGGTTGGACTAGGCGAGTGAAGGACGGGTGAGCAGGTGAATGGGTCAGAGGAGTGTATATATGGGCGAGTGAATGTGTTAGGGTGTATTGATGAGTGAATGGTGGATGGGCGAATGGATAGCCAGACGAGCGAACCAGTGGATCAGTTGGGCGAGTGGATATATACGTGGACAGCTAAGTGGTGAGCAGGTAAATAATTGTATGAGTGTATACTAATGATTGTGAAATTAGTTATTTTTGTATTCTTTAATTGGAAATTTACGTATTTTTAGCATTCAAAAGTGGTTTATTTTATACAAGGGGTGTTTTTTATTCAGTAATATATGGTAAGTATTTTTAATTCTTTATTTGAAATTTTAATTTCAAGCTCAGTAATAATTAGTTGCGCATTATTTAACTTGCATATTAAAAGGGACGTACGGAGCCATTCTTGAACTTCAGAAGTTATTGGAGAACAGAAAGCTTCGGAATCGAACGATTTATTTGGAGATCAAGGAAAGAAAGATGGTAATCACGGATTTTATCGCCGACTCTCGAAGAACATGAAATTCCAGATGTCTATTTTGGTTACGTAAGTTTAATAATTTAATAATAAATTACACTCGCAATTTAAGATCGATAATTTAGCAATAAATTACACCTGCAATTTAAGCTTATTTTATATGATTTCGTCCAGATGTGAAATAATCGCAAAAGGAATTATTGAATGACATTCCAAACGAGGTATCGATAATAAACACATTTAGTCATTTGTAAGTTTATTTATACTTTAAATATATATTTTTTTCTGATTGCAATAATTCTTACACTTTCTTGATAAGTAGTAGAGAGCATCTAGAGGTCGTTTTGCAGCGGCGGTAAATGTACAATATTAAGGGTTATCACTTGGGTTGTATATTCACGGTATGTGTATAACAAACCTTTAAAGTCTTCACTTTCTATTATTTGAGAATTTACTAAATTTAATATTTTAAAGAGATAGTATCTGGATTCCTGAATTTTTTCCATGAACTCACCCGTTCAAAAACGAAGATGTGCCCCAGAATTTCTCTAAATATTTAAGATACAAGGAAGCACAAAAATTTAATAGAAACGATTTCCGCCGCGGGGGATGGAAATTGATAATAAAAAAGAGTAGCGTTATTTAAACATTGTGATTTCTAATGTTAATTTACATTGTTTAATCATTATTGCAGAAATGATTATGAAAATCGTGAAATGATTGTATTTATTTGACATAAACCGACTATGATATACTATTTCACTTCAGACAGTCTAGAATCCAATGTTAATCAGATAATTTAGTGAAGAAATTAATGTAGAGTTTACATATGCGCTCAATGAAAATTTTGTGGGATTTGTGATCAATGCATTATATAATATTGCAGTAATATAGCGTATTTTGGAAGCCTGAACCAAAGCTTTACGTATGTTTTTTACAATCTAGTAGATAAATCAATCCGAAATTCAACACATTGTTATTAATTACTCATCTAAATAAAAAAAAAACTTTTTAATTCACAATTCTTAAATACTATCTTTTAATTATAGTAAATTCTTTAGTTATAAAAATTTTTAAAAATTTTCAAATTCAAATGAATGAATTGATTTTAGCTTGTTTTTAAATCAAGATTGAAAGAATTCGAAATTATTAGACTATATTATAAAAATTTTTCAATAATTGCATACTATTTATTTAATATACATATATTTATATTTAAATAGATCATTATTTTTGAAAGTAAGTTAAAATATTTTCAAAGTTCAAAATTAGATTAAAATTATAGTATAAATATTATTTAAACTTTAAATTTTATTTTAAATTTTATTTTTATTTATATATATTTAAAGTAAAGTTTGATTTTATCAATAATTATTTGTAAATAATTTATAAATAATTTAAAATAAAGTTTTAATATCATTTAAAATTAATAAAATAATTGATTTTAAAAAAATGTTATTAAATTAAATATATAAGATAGAATCTTTATTAATAAATTTAAAAATTAATAATTGAAAAAAATTTTTTAATATATTAATTTATAGTAATATATGATTTATTAAATAAATTTTATTTTTTTCTATTATTCATTGTTATCTAAATATTAATTTTTTTAAAAATTATATATATTGGTTTTTTTATTTTGTTTTATTAGTTTTACAAAAAAAAATATTTTTTATAATTTAAGATACAAAATAAATAATTATAAAATATAATTTATGATTATCAATTTTATAAATAATAAATATAAATAAAAAATTATTTGTTATCAATATATTAACAATGAATTTAAATTTAATATATAAAGAAATTTTAAATAAATAATTTTAATGAATAAAAAATATACAAAAAATTTTATAAAAAATAAAAAAACTATATAAAAAATTACAAATATATAATAAAAATATTCTATATTATTTTGTTTTCAATAAATTAATTTAATATATACTAAAATGCATTAATAAATTATATAATAATTCAAATTAAATAATTAAATAAAAAATAATTAATTGCTTAATTTAGCTAATTAAAAAATAATACTTTATAATTTAATCAAAAAAATAAATATTTTTTTTTAAGAATTTCTTTAATATGAATTAATTATATAGTTGTTTTTTTTTAAAAAAAAAAAATATTTATACAAAGTTTAAAAATTTTATCAAATCCAATTTAAATTAAAATTATAAGATTTTACTTCAATAAAAATAATTTTTGGATTTTTATAAATGATAAATTAAAGCAAATTCATATTAGCACTTATATTTTTTTATATAAATAATAAATAAAAAAAGTTGATAATTTTAAATTTTCAAAAAATATATATAAAAATTAAATCGATGCATAACAATAAATTATTAGATTTATATTATTTGAATTTAAAATTTTATTGTTTTATTGTTAGAAAAATACGAATTCTAAAAATTGAAAAATTAATTTTTTATAATAAAATTATTTTAAAAAAAATTATGTAATTTTCACAATAAATTATTTATTTAAATTAAAATATAAAATAATATTTGTCATAATTTTGTGTAAAAAATAAGTTTTTTTTCAAGTTTAAAAAAATACAAGAAAAAAAAAAAAACAAAAATAAAACTAATTCTTTTTATGCGATTATTTTAATAACCAATAATAAACTTTTTTTTTCTAGAATAACTTGTAGCATGATTTTTTAAAAAAATTATATATTGATAGTTTTTAAAGGAATATAATTTGTAAAATAGGTTAATTTTAAAAATGTTTGTGTACTGTGTAAACGTGATGTTTATTGAATTTAATTATGTATTTGCGAAGATATTGATATTTTAAACCAAAAAAATAATTTGAATAATATTTCATCACTTTTAAAAAAACAATTTACAAATACAGATTTCATTTATCAAGATTAGATAGATTTAGTACCTTGAATAAAAAAAAACAAAATTTTCGATTTTTAATTTAATATCACCTTGATTAATCACATAAATGCAGTGTGTTATATACTGTAAAACAATAAATCAAAGGATAGTATATATTCATCTAACGCTGACAAAGGGCTTAGAATATACACGTACTGTATTCAGTATACGCATATAATACAGTATACAGTAAATTCATATTTTATTAAAAAATTCAATTTCATATGCTGCACACATTTCGGGCGTTACATTTTACGGGTGACCGTTTTAAAATTTATAACGCGCGCGATTTCTCGTGCATTCTGAAATTTTAATATATAGTATCGTGCTGTGAATTAAAAAAAATTATCAAGAAGTAATAAAATTTTGTAGAAGCTACTCACGTTTGATATGCCCAGAATTTAACTATTCCAAATTTGATCCTTTTACGATATAAATTTAAACATTGATACGTAATTGTGACGAAGCCTTCACACGCATCATTTCGTCAATAAATATGATTAGTAATTATCCTATTTCCAAACTTTTTAAGAAGGAACCTTGGTTTTCTTGATTAATCTCAAAGTCTCCATGTCTCCTGATGCACAATCGTCAAATCAACCGTCAAAAAAAGATGTATCAATTGGTGCATACCTGCTCGGTCGATTGAAACAACTTGGTGTGAAGCATGTCTTTGGCCAACCCGGGGATTTTAACATGGGGTTCCTCGACCTTATCGAAGACGATGAAGGAATCGAGTGGATTGGTTGTTGTAACGAAATGAACGCTGGATATGCAGCTGACGGGTATATTGCATTCCTCCTTTTTTCGCCGACTTAAATTACTTTTCTCCTCGATTATTTATTATTGCGCGATTGCAGATACGCCAGGGTGAATAGGGTGGGTGTTCTCGTGACGACATTTGGGGTAGGTGAACTCTCGGCCATGAACGCTGTCGCGGGTGCATTTTCCGAGATGGTCCCGGTTGTGCACATAGTCGGCACGCCGTCCACCGAATCTCAATCTCAAGGGGCACTATTGCACCATACACTCGGCAATGGCGATTTTAAAATTTATCACAAGATGTACGAAAATATCACTGTCGCTCAAACGGTGCTTTCCCATCATAATGCCAAGGACGAAATTGATCGAGTGTTGAGGGAGTGTTATATTCATTCCCGACCGGTTTACATTTCGATCCCTACCGATATTTGTGTTAAAAAGATTGCCGCCGACCTTTCGCAACCCCTGGTCTTAACCATCCCCGAGAACGTGCACGAAGTTGAATACGCAGCCATTAATAGGGTCATTGGTCGTATTCATAAATCGGCTAACACCATTGTTCTCATCGATGCGTGTGCATCGCGACACGATATATCAAAGGAGTTGTTGGATTTCATTAATAAAACTGGATTTCCATTCTTCACCTCACCAATGGGTAAAAGTATTATTCCCGAGAATCATCCTCTCTTTGGTGGAATCTACATTGGATCAGTAAGCGAACCGCACGTAAAGAGAGAAGTTGAAGAAGCTGATTTGATTATTTCTATTGGAGCTATTAGGTCCGATTTCAACACGGGGTATGTGAATTCATGTCGGGCGAGAATGCTTTTATCATCCCTTTCGTTAAAAATACCTAAAACGACTGCATATTTCCACACGACTGTCCCTGCAGTGGGTTTACATATCATGTCTCGCAGGCAAAGACCATTGAACTCTGCTACAATCGCATAAAGGTTTTCTTTGCGACCTACGAAGGTAAAGAGTATTAAACACAAATACATGAAAAATCATGACAAGAATAATGATGATGACTCTTTTAAACAGGTGTATCAATGAAGCATGCCTTACCCAAGATCACGGCGTGTATCGAGCGCATGCCATCCTCGACAATTTCTCCACCATACCAGCACAATCTACTCGAGGACGATGTTAAAGATCAACGTATCACCCAAAATTGGTTTTGGCACGAGGTCTCTTCAACACTATTACAAGAAAACGATATTATTATCGGTGAGATGGGCACCTCGGTATTTGGATTGATGGACATACGATTCCCGCCAGGTTCCACCTTTATCGGACAAATTTTGTATGGAAGCATTGGATATAGTGTCGGTGCATGCTTGGGCGCCTCGCTAGCCGCGACAAATGTCAAAGAGCGACGAAGAGTATGCTTGTTTGTTGGGGATGGATCTTTGTGAGTATTTTAATTTTAAAGAAAGAACGAACTTACTTAACATATATCCCTTACCCATGACGCGAATAACAATTGCCGTTTGAAAGTCAAGTGACCGCTCAGGAAATATCCACCATAATCCGTCACAACCTTAACCCCGTAATTTTTCTTATCAACAATAACGGGTTTACCATTGAACGTATGCTTCACGGAATAAAGCGTAAATATAATGACATAGCACAATGGAAATTCGACCAAACTTTGGAATACTTTGGTGGATCAAATGAAGGTACCGTCGTCAGACCTTTTCTCCATTCTAATTAGGAACGATTTCATTTCACTCGGCGTTCTTTACTTGATTCAGTGGGTCGCACCGTAAAGCTCGCCACCAAATCCGATTTCAAATCTTTTGTTTCTTCGATACTCCCCGCAACACCGTCGCGAATTCAATTTGTCGAAGTGATGATGGACAAGTATGACGCTCCCAGAGCATTGATCGGCACCGCCAGTTTTACGGCCGAGGAGCATATGAAAGAAAAGGTGCTGCCAATGTTACATGAGAAGTTGCACAAAAAAGAAGTTTCCGGGGAGCAATAGAAGCTTCCGAGCATAGGAACGAGTTTTATTGTACGCATATGTGTACCAAAATTATCAAGTTTCAATGTCAAAAGTGACACATCTGGAAAAAGTAAACTAAAAAATCGAAGTATTGTTTACAGGAAATGGCGGTGTCCTTAAGAATAAAACTTGGCTTACATTATAAAAAATTTTTGATCATATAATTTACGCGCGTAGAGATTTTTTAAAAGGATAAATAATGTACGTGTCAAGGTGATGGTGTCTTTCAGATAAACATGAATGTAAGTTACAATATCACAATCAATTTTTCATTTTCGAGTTACTACTGTGCGTGGTGTGAATATGCTAGTTTGAATTTTGTTGGGAATCAATTGTTCGAAGCATCTCCTGTGCCTTCGGTTGGTTCTTCAATGCGGCTAGTCGTAAATATTTTATTCCTTTCTCTTGATCTCTTTCCACCTCATATTTCCCATTGTAGTACACATCACCGAGATTGAACATTGCTGTCGAGTTATTGTTGTCCGCGGATTTCATTAAATATGTAATGAACTCCGCGTGCCTTCCAGATTTAAGCATAATAAATGCATAACGTAACTGAGCGTCGCCATTATTTCTATCCGCTGCCTCTTTAAAAAGACGGATAGCTTCGGAGATGTTCTTTTCACCAGCGTAACCTTCAAGAAGATAATACCCTTTCCAGTACTTTGCAACTGGATCATCTAGTTCAGCATGAATTTCAAAGACACGTAACGCAGCACTTCTATCCTTTCGTCTATGAGCCTCTATACCCTCACTTAATGGAGGGATTGACAATTTTTCCAGATCAATCTCGTCTTCAGAATCGGACGTGTCATCATGAAGTGAAGAATTTATGTCATTGTCACTGCTGAAACTTCGTGTCAGCTCTGGACGCGACAAATCGTCATTGCTTGGGGATCTGATGGGATTCAATGATGGGGAACACTTTTTAAGTAATTCCTGAAGGTCGAGTAAAATATCACTGATCTTTGGTCGCTTCGTTGGTTCAATACTCCAAGCTTCAAATTGAAATAAAAGAACATTTTAACGCCTGCCGGTACTTTTTTTTTTTTTTTTTTTTTTTTTTTGAATTTTAAGTACTTTGGATCACGAGTGCCACTAACCTGCTTTGACAATTTTCGAAAAAGTGCTGGTGATGGCAGGCGCCGCGCTCAACCCAAACCTTAGTTCTTCCCTCTTGCCACTCCTGACGTGCGCATATATTTCGTCGAAATCCATGCCCTCATAGGGTATCCGTTGAAAGGACAGTTCCCAGATAAGCATACCAAAACTATGGCAATAAAATTAGTAATTATGGCATCCCTCTTGTTGATGTGACGTACAATGCACAGTGTGTTGGAATGCATGTTATCGAACTTACCTAAATACTTCGCAAGCAGGGGAATACTTCAAAGTGATAGAATATTCGACATCCTTTCCACCCTTCGCGTCGAGTTTTTCAGGTGCCAACCACCTGATCACGTCGTTTATATTGTTGATATGACGAGTTTCCTGGTCCGCTTTGCGACTTAAATGGAAATTCGCGATTTTTGCCTTATACCCTCCGTCTTCGATGACCTAAGTTATCATGACACGTCACGTTCGTGAGTATGTATGTTGTGGGCGAGAGAGCGTGAACAAACATGAAAACCCACCAGAATATTTTCACACCTAATATCGTGATGATAGATGTTACACGCCTGCAGGAAGACCAAGCCGTCGCAAATGTCGTGAACAACTTTTAACTTAGTTTGCCAACTCATGCTGTGATCTTTCTCATAGAGCTCTCTTAGATTTCCATGTTCCGCCCATTCCATGACCATGATTTCTTCTCCATCTACGCGCGTTAAACCATAAAATTTTACAATTCTTGGCGATGCCTGTATCTGGTTTAAGATGGCTAGCTGCGCCCTGCTAACCCTTTGTGCTCTCTCCGAGGTTTCGAAGATCCTGAGAGGTTTAAGGGCAACCGGTATGGTCTTATACAATCTCTTATAAATCTTGCCTCTTGCGTCTGTAGGACTCGTTCGATCGGGTTCCTTGATTTCGTGCATTTCAATGGTCGGTACACTCACATTTATCTCTTCACCCTTATTAACTTTCTTTGTCATTTGGTACACTTGCTCGTAGATCAAATCAATTTTCCCTCCCTGCATTTGAATCATTTTCTCGAGTTTCTGAATTTTTTCAGGAGATAGGAAAAAAAAAAAAAAAATCGTTAAAGGTGAGAAACACACTAGATAGAATGCATCAATGCTAGCCAGGTATGTACTTTTTGAGTTTTGATGACATCGTCGTCTAGTATTTTCTGTTCACGTTCTCGTTCTTCGTTTGTAATCATAATGTTAAACTGCAAGTCATGGCAAACCGCTTCGAACGTTTGCAAGAGTTTGTTGCAATTTCTCTTGATTTCACCGGCAAATGCAAACTTGCGTAACCCATTGAGTTGCGAAACGTCTTTTATGAATTCTCTGATATCATCTAGAACCTTGTGAAACTTTACAAAAGTACGATTGAATCCGGGATCGAGGAATTTTTTTTCGTTTGCCTCCTTCTGCCGATACAAACTTCTTACGGCTGGAGAAACATTGTCAACACGTTCAGCCAAGATAAGACATGTGTCACTATTATATTCGGTGTCTTCTTGAATCTTGAGGATTTCGTCGATAACCTTGGTCACTGCCTCAAACCAGGGTATGAACGCACTGAATGCGCTGACTGCATTGTAAACCTGCCTCGCTGTAGTCTCCAATTTCAAAATTCTCCCGCCACCATAATTATAATTATCATCGTTTCCATCCATTCTTTTGTCAATAGTGAAATTATGTGTGCTGACAAAACTAAAAGAAAATCCTCTTTTATACTTTTTGAATGGCGCACGTATTTCCAATTTCAGTAGTATACAGAAAAACCGTTTCCTTCTACATGGTTTTTCTCAGCATAAAAAGTTTTGTTCTGTAATACATTAACGATACGTAAGCTTTGCTAATGAACGTAATATAATACGCATATTTCACACTTTGTATTCCGGAAACAAAATCAAGTGTCTTTCTAAGACAATGAAATAAAGTTAAAAGGTGATCAAAGCAATTGTCTGGATTTTCATAATCGCCGCAGCGATGTCAATTATCTTACTATTCGTGTTACGCAACAAATACTTGTTACTTTATTGACACCGCGTTAACGTTTTACTTTAACTATTCCTAATTCAGTAAAATAATCTGTATCATTTAAATTATTAAAGTTGCTAGTTTTGTTTTGTTCTTTTTTTTGTTTGGAACATTTCACGATCTCAAAGCTATAAGGTGTGTTGTGTCTATTAATTTCTCTGATATTCTTCGGCTATTGTGATTGTGTCATAAAAAAAAAAATGACAACAATAATCGTATTTAACTTATTTATAATATCGAGTATTGGATTAATTGTGATTGTTTCGATTTTTGATGAATGGTATTTTCTTTCTTTCTTGTTTATAAATAATAAAAGATTTTTTAAAAATTAACAACAATAATTATATTATAATTCGAAAATTTTTTCATTATAGTTTAATAAGAATTATTTGTTTTAGAATTGATTATATTTAATTGATTTTTTTAAAATCCACGATTATGTTATTACAACGTATTATTATATAGAATTTTATGCAACAGCTAAACTACTATTGTATACTATTAATTAGAAGACTATATTATTTAACAAATATAAATATTTATTAGGTTAATTTGGAAATAGAACAAAGTTTGAACTAATTGTCTTAAATTAGATTTAGAGAACATTATTTTGCTCTTCTAGAAAATCAATACTAGATCTATCTCTGTTTATTAAATCCTTATCAATAGTTTATTACTATAAATTATCTTAAAACATAATAAATTACGGAATTAATATATCAAGAAAAGATAATTCTAAACTTTTCAAAAACTTTTTATTCAATAAATAATTATTTCTTAAAAAAATCTACTTAATTAAGATATTCTTTAACTTCAATTTATTTAAGAAATGCATTTATTAATTATTGAAATTATATATTATCTAAAAAATTTATTATAAAAAATTTTTCAAATAAAAAGATTTCATCTTACGTTTTTTATTATTAAAACTTAAATTTATAATTTAATCATAATAATATAATCATAAAAAATTTTAATATATTTTTTAAAAAAATTTCTTCATTGTCTAAAAAATTTAATAAAGAATAAGAATATTATATTATATATAATATTCTTTATTTAATTTTTAATATTACAATTATTTGTTTGAAAAACTTATATGTAAATTTTATTTTCTTATTATTAACAATATTCTAAAAACTTATAACTATAATCAATAAGTAATTAATTATATTTTAAAAAACTAGACCTGTGGATCAATAGTGTAGTGATAATGCTTTCAGGTCACCAAGTACTGTTTCCAAGTTCAATATCACTGCAAGGCAATATTACCTAAAGCCTAGGTGGTACAAGAAGATCGCATCCATTTCATAATAATGATCTAACTACCTCTGACCAAGACCCCGTCCAATTATGGGGTATTAAAGATCACAAGATACTTCAGCCGATTTTAGTGCTAAAGTCATCTCATTACAAGACAGGTTCTTTCAAGCTCTTGCAGATAAGTTGAAGATCTGCACGCCATAAAATCAAGGAAGCTAGTGAAGCCTAGACACATTAGTTAGAAGAGAGTTTCTATCAAATTAATATCCATTCAAGATTCCATGTGGTCATTTCATAGGTAGGCTGTAATAGGTCATGTAAAAAGGGTGCTCCAGTGGGACGAGATGACATCTAAGACTTCACGTGAGTATTCCGTAGGCATACTGTAATAAGTATTATAAAAAGAATATTCAGTGGGACAAAATATAAAAGGGATTCTATATTACAGATCCCAGGTCTATATAAATGAGAGTCGGAGAAAGGTAATACAGATGTAGATAGTGGGATAGTAGGGCTTCTTCTGACAACAAGCCATGGGATACACAAGGTGTTACAATTAGGTTTATGGATATAATAGTAGAATGGATGAAAACTTGCTATAATTAGCATAAAATTGATTTTAGAATCGTCCTATAATTAATAGCTAGACTAATATGTAAGGTCTGTTCTATTGTCTTCAATAAACTGGATTTCGTTATCCTTAAAAATATATATATATATATTTTAAAAACTAACATATTTTATATTAATCAATTAATTTTGATAATAATTATATTAACCAAAAATTTAAAATTAAATTAAAATAAAAATAATAACTTTAAACGAATTTTATTATAAAAAATCTTTATAATAACTTAAAAATAAAAAAAGTTTTCAAATATTTTATAGCTAGTTTTTTTTAATAGCTTCTTTAAATAATAATAAATATATTTTTTAATTTTTTTTTAATTAAAAAAATTTTATATAAAAAACAATAATGGTTCTTATAAATATTTTAAAATTGTTTTAAAAAAGTGATAAAGAAATTGATATAGTTTACTTTTATTAAATTAAAAAATTTATTATTATTATTTTTTAATTCAATATTAGGTCGACACAGCTTATCTTTATTATATCTTTAAAAATTTTATACAATTTAAAAGACTTTCACATACTGTAATAGCTCACCTATCTATAAGTTTAATTTCTTTAGATATAATTTAGGGGATGATTTTTTTTTTTTTTTTTTTTTTTTTTTACCCTCTGTCAGATTAGTTAGATATGCTTTATTAAACATTTGTAGGCTATACTGTATATATTAAATAAAATATTAAAGCTAATTCTCTAACTAACTCATTCATTTTAATTATATTATCTCTCTAAGTGCAACTTTAGGAGTAATTTATTGCTTCATTAAAGATTCAGGTAAAAACTCTTCTGACTTCTAATATCTTTGCTCGCAAGTTACTATTACAGATCACTCTTTTGAGCTCTGATAGAGATCAAAATCCAATCATTTCATACCATATTTCACACCATTCAACAGGATTTCTTTTAACTTCTTGTTTTTGATTATCCTTTTCTCATATATCGACTTCTTATTAAATTGACTTTCTGTACTTTTGCTTTTTCTTTTCTTGCCTCATAGATATGATAGATTTTTTATCTTAATATATTTGTGAATTCCTGATTTCTGTTCCCATTCAATCAACTTTTCATATCTTGTATTCCATATTTTCTTTTGAAATTAATTACGTACTTTTTCTTGCATCTTCATTATCTATTTTTTAACTTCTTTTTTAATTATCTTGCCATAACAAGTCAAATCTATTATTTTGATAATTAATTCTTCCTTTATTAGTTCCATATAGAAGCTGAGTATGTCCTAATTGGTTTTTGAAATTTTTTTTATCAGTTTAGCTATCTGTTTATTCTCCTATTTCTATTTTATTATCTATTATTAAGTTTAATTCTTTTTTTTCTGATTCCAGTTTCCTTTCTTTTAAGAGCTTTCTGAATCCTTTCAAGACTCTTTCTATTTTTTTTTACCATGCTTTATTCCACTGAGTATTGTAAGTTAACCATTTTAACAAGTATTCTATTATTTTATCTTTTTTATCACATATAATATATTTTACTTACTTGTAGAGATTCAGTCCTCTTATGGCCAGCTTCATTAGTATTGACAACTCGTTATTGATCAATTTAATGAGAAATCTTTTGTTTTGTAAGCTTTTAAATGAGGTGTTTCATGTGTGTACTTTCTTAAAATGTTTTCATACTAGGTCTCACATATATCTGTATTGGTTACTGGGCTAGCTTTGATTCTCAATTTTTAACAGGATTAATACATTTGAAGTGCTCTATCTTAAGCTATTTTGAAATATTATGTAATATCAATTTTCTTCAAATTATCTATTGCTGTTGAAATTTGCTTCTTGTAACTATCCAGAGTTTCTGTCATTTATAAAAGTTGATGTTAAGAGTAGGATATTCTGGATTTCATTTTATTCATTCTTCTTTTCAGGATTCTAAAAGCTGTTTTAGTCTATTTTCCTGCATTATCTCAATTATAGATATGTACTATCCTGGAATAGATTCTTTACTTATTTTTTGTAATAGTTGAAGCATTTGCCAATTTCATATTTCTTTTGTTTCATAGTTAATTAGCTAATCTATATATATCAATTTATTGTTTCTGAGTAATGAAATTGCTTTCTTGTACTCTTTAATTGATAAGCATTCTCTAATTGAACTATTTTCTTGATTCTATTCAAAAATGTCATTCTATTTCCAACTTTGAAAGGTCATATCAGTATCCTTGGTTAGCTTCAATACTTTTAATGAGAAGTTATCCTTTTCTGAAATATGATTTAATAAGTTATATATAAGTATGTTGACAAGTTTCCAATATCTGACTTGTGCTTGCTTGAGTCTAATGATTGTTGTAATTCCAGCTAGTTTTGGATCATTTAATCTATTATACAATCCTATTATCTGGCTTTCTTTCTATAATATTAAAACACTTTTTAAGTTATAAATCTTGGGATAATATGTTGTACTAGTGGATATTGATTTACATAATATAGTCTTGTCTTTGAACAGTTTTCTGTATATCATTATTAAGATATTGCATCTTTTAAAATAGTATACTGTGTTATATTTTGAATTCGATTCTTGGTATTAGTACTCTATTCAAAATATAAAGAGCTTGTTTGTCTGTTAGCTTTTTATTTTTTAGTGCATTGATAATCACATTGATTTTCTTAAGCACCTGTTTTTGAGCTTGATAACTGTTTTTTGGTTATCTATCCAAATTTTCTGGAACCTTACTTGTTTGGTTCTATTCAATTATCTCACTACTTCTTTATTGACTCCTATTTGAACTTCT